TCCAATAAACAGCTGCTATATGGCTGGATCATTGAAAAAAATGGAGCCCTACGGAGATAATAGCCAAAAAGCCTGTCTTCTCACTGACTTACGCTGTTTTGCTTTCACATAGACCACAGTGAAAAAAGACCTTGTTGCCCACCCTCCTATTCCCCAAGAGTCCTCTTCATGCATGCTTTGCTGTAAGAGTACTTCCCTGGTAACTCTGTTACCTTGCCTGCTTAGGAGGAATGATTTTATTCACATGTTTTGACCTGCATTTCCCAAGACACCTATCTGTGCCAGGCCCTTCAAAGGTTGCAGAGCTGAGGAACTTAGCGCCATAGAAATGAAAGTTCAGGTGATGAAAGAAGGGAGATGAACACAGAAAAGTGCAATGTAATTGAATGAAGTAAGACACTTGTATAGATTCATTTGAGCAAGAGAGATGTACAACTGCTCTTAAGAAATAATTGTTAAGGAGAAGAGGAGGGGAGGGGAAGACTTAAAGGACCTGAAGTAATTATGAAGATGCTAAAATTAATTAGTATTAGCTTCTGCTTTCAGGGTGTCAGGATGAGCACCAAGAACAATCAACTAGCTCAATCTTCTACTTAGATAGTATACTATCTCCATACAAATGATGGAAACCTAATGAAGCCGGAGCAGCACAAGATACCCTTATGTCTCCCTTTTGAGAAGAAGACAGGAAAGTGTCAGGTGCTTCCTAGCAAGGAAGGGATCAGATACTTCTTTCACTGAACTGAGCTCCGAGGGATGTTCCAGCAGGGCAAGAGCTGCTGCTTGTAGTTACCCAGACAGGAGATGCACAATGTCCAGCTGGCAGGCAGTCACCCCAGACCCGTGCTGGTAGGTTGGGTTTTGGGGGAGAAGTCTGTGTTGTGTTATCTACTGCTGCTGATGGCAAGGCTTTGGAGTAAGGAATGGGGTATTGAAAGAGATTGTCTGTCTTTGGCATAGGGGTAAGAACTATGTTTTATTAAGGAATGGTAGTACAGTACAAAAATATGATTATATAAAATCTGTGAAAAATATGATGCCATTTAAAATAGCCTTTTCTCCTTTCGTATGTTCCTTTCTTTTTAAAAAATATATATTGTAGATACTTCTATTCTTTTTTCCACCAGCATTAGGAAACCAAGACAGATCTTCAAATTACAGTTGAGATGAAGGACAAGCAACAGTGTTGTTTGAAATGTCTTGGGTTTGTGTTAAAACTAAAGATCTTCGGAAGAGGCAGAAGAAAAAAAAAGTTCCAGAAAAGTCTAGATAAAAAAAGGAGTTTTTACTTCTGAGCCTCATTCTTAATGAGCTAAAAATTACTGAGTTAAATTCCATCAATATGCCTGGGAGCTGCCCTGCAATGTCAAATCCTGTACGTTCTTACTAATAAATGTAATTATTAGCACTATTAAAGGAGCCTACTTTGAAGATGAGATAGGTTATTAAAGCAAGTTCTGTTGCAATACAGGGACTAAACACAGCCTAGTACAGATGGAGAAAAATGATTGATTTTGAAAATTGCACAGACTTGTCAGGGTTCCTGGGACAGTCTAAGGTCTTGTCTATGTGGTAAACCTGTCTGGCAGGATGTCTGTGGGACGGCTATCTCGGCACTGTTAGACTTTTGCCAAGACCCCAGCGCATTTCATGTTGGGATGTGTGTGTTGCTCACTGTCACCATGTAGGCAGCCCTGGGGCTGGAAAATGGCCTGAATGGAATCTGGTTGCTTAATGAGGAGAAAATAACTCTGTTTATGGTAAGCATCAAATGTGCCTAGTGGTTGGCAGAGTTAAAGTGGATGCAGAGGCAGGCTAGTAAGCGTGTAATTCTGATTTCAGTCCCTAAACTCCCATGGGCTCCACTAGCAGAAGTGCTGCTGTATGTGCAGGAAACACGAGCATCTTTCTGATTATTTCTAGTCCCTAATTTGCCTTCCTCTGGTCTTACTCAGTGCCAAGAAGTGACACTGGAGCTCTAGTGAAGCAGTAACTGCGAGCTTGTCTGCATCTCCAAGCAGTAGGTCTAGGATGAACATGGGACTCCTCATTGGTCTTGAGGCCCTTGTCTAAGCTGGAGCAGAATGAAGTGAGGTGGGGATGTATTCCTCCTTGCTCTGGTCTTGCCCTTGGAATGTAGGATCAAAACCCACTTGAGTGGGAGGATGATGCACAGGATTTGTTAATGACCTACAGGTAATTCCTTAGAGCAGCTCCAGTTAGGAAGGAAACCTGCAGCCTGCTGTGCCCCAGTGAGCCATCCTAGGTAGCCTGGGGAGACTGAGAAGTTGTGCGAACCACAACCAAGTTGCCCAACGCCTAAGTGCAAGGTCTGGGCATTGAGACAGTACCTTTTTTCCCCCAAATGACAGTGATTTGCAGTTGTTTGCCTGTGTAAGCAAAGAGCCATGGCATGTGGGCTGCTAAGCCTCTACCCTGCTGCCGGGCAGGGAGGGGAATTCCCTGGATTTGCTCTTTCATCTCAGGCAAGGACGCACAGTTGGCACAACCACCCATCGTGCACGCAGGGAGAGTTCAATAATTCAGCAAGCAAAACCAGAGCCAGCAGCAGACTTGGGCTCCAGCCAAGGCTTGGGAAGTTGTCCTAGCATCAAATAACACCTCTGCTCGACAGCGTGAGATCTCCCTGCTTGGGAAAGCACTGTCTGCCAGGGGAAGGAGAAATCCTCAGCCCACCGATTTTCTGCTGCTCCAATAGAGGGAAGGGGGGAAGGGGCTGATGCACTGGTTCACGCTGGTATCGCTTGGTCTTTTCCTGTCTCAGCAGTGCAAAGGGACTCAAAAATAGGTGGCCTTTGCCAAAACATTAGGAAATATTGCCATTTGCCCTAGTCCACGCAGTGACCACCATGTTTTTTCCTTCCCCCCTCCTTTTTTTTTTCCTTGTTGTTCTTATCCTTGGTTTCTTTCTTTCTTTTTTTTTTTCCCTTTTTTTTTTTTTGTATTTTTCTTTAAATAAAGTGTATTTAGTGCTGGTGAAAGGTGCTGAATTGGCAGCCTCAGAGATGGGTGTCCCTCTACCCAGCCCAGAAGAGCCCTGGTGCTTTCTCTGAGCTTTCTCCTCTTGGCACCAACCCTGTGCTAGGAGAGCTCACAAGTGCCTGTGCTCCCCTACCCACTCCCATAGCTGCCTCTTGCTGTGCTGGTTGGGACACCCATGGCTGAGCATAGGCTCCCATCTCCTGTCCCAGGCTTGGATGCTGCTGACCTGGACTGGACTTGACAATGCCAGAGGGTATTTTGCTGTGAACTGTTCCAGCTGCTGTGGAGGATGCAGCTTCTGCAAGCGGGAGCCTGTCTGTTCCTGGAGCAAGCATCAGATCTGCAGCCCAGGTCAGCTGTGGTCCAGTTCTGAGCAGGAGATAAGGGAGAGGAAGCAGAGTAGAAGCACCCCTTGGGTGTTACTTGTCACTCTGCCTTCATTTAGTGCCTAATCCAGACCTGACCCCAAGTGCTTCAGTGCAGACTGATTGTCTCTTCCTTCACGCTCTTTTTTTACCCGCCTTGCTAAAGTGCAAACGAACACAACTGAATCACCCAGGGTGCTGCAGCCCGGCTTACACCCAGGGTCCCAGAGAGGCAAGTGGGGCATCAAGCCCTTGACTTGCCCGTTCCAGCCCCAAGCCAGACTTTCCAATAACACCCTGGAGGCATTTGGTGTGTCACCCCCAACCCTAAACACCAACCTGTGCTACCACTTGGCCAAAGGGAAACCCCTTTGCTCACCCACTCCCACCTCCCTCCCCCCCTTTTCCCTATCCCCACCAAACTGTGCCAGCCTCCCCCAGGACTCTGCTGGGCAGCAGAGAGGGGCGAAGCAGTCTGCTCCATCTTCCCATCTGCGTTAAAGCTAAATGCAGCACCAAAATAGATACAAAAATAGAGTTTTGGGTCCATTGGCCCAGCTTCGCTATTAATATTACTGCTATGAAATGTCTGAAAATAAAAGCTGCTCTCTCTGTACACACCTTCCCCCCGCCCACCCCTTACTGACAATATTGCCGTTTGCCCGGTCCTGTCGCAACAAGGCATGAATATGCCTTTTTTCTCTATACTTTAAATATAATTGCTTCCATCACCCCATTGTAAACATGTCAGAAAGGGATTTGGAAAAAAAAAAACAAAAACAACTGGTTTATAAACCCTTCATCATTTCTAGTGTTCTGAATAGTATTTCTGGCTCCTGGGACTCAAATCCTGCCAGGTTATTTAAAAGGACAGAAGGTACCTGCGATTTCTGATGAAGGCCCTGATGTCCTTCTCGGGTTTCCCATTGGATGCTCTCTGATGGGGATGAGAGAGAGAATGTGTTTGCTTTCCTCTATCCAAAAGTCACAAACTGTTTGATCGGCAAACCCGTGACTAAAAAAAGTAAATATATAAAATAAACAACAACCCACAGCCTCTTTCTTAAGATTTCCCGTCTATCCAGTTTTCAAAGTGCAAAACCTAGAGAAGCATAGAATGATTTTCTTGGGTTTTTTTTCCTTTTGTTAGGGCTTTTTTTCCCCACATGCTTGACTACTATGGCCTTTCTATAGCAAAAGTCAGATAAAGTGTAATTGCAGTCATTTCTGCACATGGAATTATGAATCATTCCAGTGACTTGCGAATCTAAGCTGTTAATAGGCTAAAAAAAAGGATTTTTTTTGTTTATCTTTTTTGATTGTTTTCTTTTTGCATTATAATTAAGCATGAATATATATTAATATATTACATTGCTTGGATTGCAGCTGGAGCAATCCAGACCTTCCTATGCTGTAAAACTAACCCCCACCCTGCACTCCCCAGATCAAGAGATTTTTTCTCCTCCCTGTGCCAGTTATCCTCAGTTCACATGATTAAAAGTCCCTCCCAGCCCCCCTCCCCCCTTTTTTTTTTTTAGTAGATATTGCCACATTCTTAAATTCATGCATTGCTGCATTGCTATTGCACATATATAAAGGATTGCTCGCTCCCTCCCAGCTGCTCCGCTTCCCTCACTGGTTGTGCACATCCTCTCTGCGGACGATCTTGTAGATGATCCAATAGAAAATGTTGAAGATTAGGAATGCCATGGGGAAGCCGATGCGTGAGATCTTGTCGATCTTCTTGGCTCGCTGAATGAAGAGCTTTCGCATCTCCTCGGGGGAGCGGGACGGCGGGGGAACCGGGTTGGCCGTGTTGTTGTTGTTGGCACCCTTGACGGAGATGCCATCCTTGGCTTGTAGGCAAGCTGGTCCCATCCCGTAGGCAGTGAAGTTGAACCTGCCTTCACCAGCTTCATCCTCCTGAAACAGATTCAGCATGGGACTCTACTTAAAATGAGATATAGACAGTGCACCCTCGCTATAAGGCTCTCCGCTGACAGCTTCCTGCTCTGCAAGGGGAAGACCCCTCCAGCGTGCCCCGACCTCAGCACCCTTGGACAAACCCTCTGCTCTTGGGAGATCAGCCTTATAGAGGGGTGCCAGCTGTGTGATGCACAGATGCAAATCAGGGGATCCAGGCACCCCACAGAGAACAGGACTGACTTCCACCCCATTGGGGTCTTTGACATACTTGAAGGGTTTATGGTACTGCTTTCATTTTTCCAATTGCATCCCCTGTTTTGCTTCTGCCTCTCCCTCCCACCCCAGCTCTTACCAGCACCTTCTTTGCTTTGCCTATGCTGCATCAGCTTGCCCAGAAGGAGTGGGCTCCATGTAACTCACGTAGTTGAAGCTGCAGTGCGAGACTTCCTACAGAGTTACATGGATGTGCAGATGCCGAGACCTGTCCAGGAAAAGACCTCTGCTCGTCTGCTCACAGGGCCCCCCCTGAGCCCCCCAGCCCCTCCCCACAAGCCATGTTTTAGGTGAGGAACAGAAGTGCCCTTCTACGGGTCAATGGTAAGACATGGCTGCTTGTGCTAATTACAATTATTGAGCAAAAAAATAATTTATTTTCCAATCTAAAGGCAAATACTATTGCTGGTTTTTGGTGGAGGCCTTGCAGGCTTCTCAGTATGATTTAGCCCTGTTTTATTAAACACGAGGATGTAATCACAGGGAAAACCAAGTTTAGCCAAAGTAATACAACCAGTGAGTTGCAGAGACCCAAGTCTCTTGACTATAGCTCACCGAGGCTAATTGTTAGACCAATGGTACTAATTAACGACCACAGAGGCTGATCCATGCCCTGTCCCCCAGCGCTGACCTACTAAGCCCCTTCCTCGTAACCTGCCTGCCCGATGTGCCCTGCTGCCCCTTCCTCTTTGCTTTGCAGAGCGTCTTTTCCGGATGGCCCCTGTACGGAGCGAGTAGCTGCGTGGGATGGAGGCACTGTGCTGGGGGTCTGGGGTGGAGAAGCAGAAGGGAGAGCACGCTGGCGTATTGAAGCAAAGCGAAAGAACCCAATAAAATGAAGCCTTCTCTTTTTTTCTTTTTCTTTTTTTCTTTTCCTTTTTTTTTGTGGGGAGGGTGGCAAGCTGTTGCGTTGTGTGACCTACCAGCAGGCTTATCTGTTTCAGAGTCCTGGGTGAGACAATTTTGCAGGCCTTTGGATAATTCTTCCCTGCTCTGATTTTGTCCTTTTGCTGTATCTCTGGGCTTTGGTGGAGAAGGGGTGGCACCTAGGACTTGACAATCCTTAAATGTCTTTGCCTCCTAACAATGTCTCGGGGGCGGGGG